CACTTCCCACGCCGCAGCATAAAAGATCATATTGTACATGAAAAAATCACAACCAATAATGCTACATTCTTAAAGATTTTATTATTGTACAGATAGCCAGCATTATGACCGTTATTGCATTGTACCATTGTATGCGGTAGATAACGTGCTTTCAATGAGCGGTCTGCTTGCACTCCCATTCATTTAACACCAATGAAAGCTGCAAAGTGGCACGACAACACCAATGTGCAGTGATTCATAGAATTTCGTGGAGGAAATCATTTTTCTCGCACATAGGCCAGCGAACTGAAGCTTTTTGTAAGAGATATATATATGTATGTAGTATATGAAAGTGTTTGAATTTATTTAATAAAATTTTTGAAATAAATTTCGCTTTAGAACTAAATACTACACTAAGCATGCCAATTATTGCATTAAATAATGTGTAACATTGTACTGGGCATATGGGCGTGAGTGCGCAGAAAATATCAAAACAAATATGATTTATGTTGTAGTTTTGTTTACATGTATGCTTGATGTTCACTTGAATTGTCAAAGAAATGTAAGAATAAATTGTAAAAAATGAAAAATAAAATTAAAATAATAACAAAATATGTGTCATAAATCAAAAATGAATTGAAAAAGAAATTGATGTTGACTGCAATTTTCTATGCAAAAAAAAAAAAAAAAAATTCAAAATAATTTTGTTTACCCTCGCTCATCACGATAGACGGTTATAATGCCAAAAAAAAAAAAAACAATGAGTCCACAGATTTTAATAAATTTCTTTATGCCTCACTGGCAATTAAAGTGACATGCCTACATTTCTGAATGACGTGCGAATGTTGCAAGTTCACTTATATATGTATGTATGTATGTAGTATTTTGCACGCCTTCTTCAACAATTGTACTCGCATTCGCGCGCTTACTACTATTGTCGCCTTAACTGGCAACACTTAAGTGATTATTATCACAAATTTACTTGATTTACACTCAATTGGTTGTAATCTATTCACAGAATATTGCATCGTACTGACATCACAAGTACTCGTACGTGGCATGGCAAGCCATGTGCTGCAACAAATCTTGAACTGAGGCGTCATGGCATTAGTCACAGTAACATTTATGCATAATAAATAAAAAAAATGTATGCATATATATGTGTAAAAAAATTTATGAAAAACAAAAAATGACAAGGCATATTTATTATAATTGCCACAAGTTGCACAAAAATTGCAAAACATTTCTAACAAAAACTACAATTTTTTCGTTAATTTGCATGTGTTCACTTGAAAGAAACACTGTTTGGCATGCCAATTGACCGTTGTGTTTGCTTGCCGCTTGACTTGGTCAGGAAGTTGTTGCACGCAAGCGTCGCTCTGAAATGCGCTTTTTGGCCTGTCTGAGCTGTGAATTTTATGTTTTCGTTTTCTTTTTGCATTTACACGTAATTGTTAGACAATTGTATTTTTTTTTTAAGATAGTTAACTCTGGCTTTTCTTTGCTTGATCTAGCGATTAGATATCTTTTAGATTTTTTTTTAACATTTAATTGTTTGTGCACCTGCTTGTTTGCCGAAGAATGTCAAGTGTTTTGATAGACAAATTACTTTTTGATAGCAACGAGTTTTCGTAATCAACATTTGTAAATATAGAATTAAAAATATATGTATATGTATGTATATCCACATGTGAGCAAAAAAAAACTAGATAAATAATTGTATATTTATATAAATATATATATATATATATATATACTAATGGCGCTTTGTAAGCGCTGAACCGTTTGTGAGTGTTTAAAAAAAATGCTTCTACTTAACCTCATAATTTTCTGATTTGCATAAAAGTAAAAACAAACTGTAACGCAGACACCGAATCTTGCAGCGCATACTTCGTTAGCATACATTCCATACGCTTATTGTCTTAGCAAAGTATAACACCACAGTACCTCAGTACATGGTTATGCCAAAAAAGTTTTACACACATACAAAAGTGAAGAATTACACTACAAACAGTTATTTTTAAAAACGCATTAACACCTGTTTTACATTTGTTTATTTATAGAATGTGGCCACTTTAAGCAAATTATCTATATTCTAAAAATAATCACAAATATATTATATTTAAATATTTGACCGTCATAAATTATTAATATCCCCTAAGCATTTTTTATTCTGTATTGCATTCAAACACAAATTGAAAATGAGCTAACAAAACTGACTTATTGACCAATCACCCTACCTCTCCCATATGGTCTAGTGGCTAGGATATCTGGCTTTCACCCAGAAGGCCCGGGTTCGATTCCCGGTATGGGAAATTTTTTTTTGTATTTTCTTTATAAAATTTTTTCATTTACTATTAATATATTTTTTTATTTTCTTTTATTTTAATTTGGTTTTATTTTCATTTGATTTCTTTTTTATTATTAATTTTTATTATTTTTTTATTTTTATTCTTTTATTATTTTTTTTTATTTTTATTTTTTTTATTTTTTTTTATTTTTAATTTTTTAATTTTTTTTTGTTTTTTATTATGTTGTAATTTTTATTTTTCATTATGTTTTTAAATTTATTTTTTATTATTTTTTCTTATATTTGTTTTTATTAGTTTTTTATATTTATTTTTTTAATATTTTTTTTTTTTAATTTTTTATAAAATTATTATTCTATTTTCAATCATTTTATATTTTAGTATTTTGTTTTATGTGAAATCAATTAAGTTGTTTTATATATATATTTTATGAAATCAATTAAGTAATTTTATTTAATTTTAATTGTTTTTCGTTGATTTATTATAGATTGTTATCTTTTAATCCATTTAATCTTAATATATTTTAAGTAATATAATATAATTTAATTTCATTTATTTTATTTTTTGTAATTTGCATTCAAATATATTTATAATTATTATTATTTATTTTTGTATGTAATTTTAATAATTTTTTTTTTGTTTGATTTAGTTGGTTTTATTTCAGTTAGCGTTTTTTTATTATTTTAATTGGTTTCGTTATACTTTTTAAATTATTTTATTTTAATTTATTTTATATTATGTTATTATGTTTTAAGTCAATTCATATTTTAATTAATTTTAATTTAATTTAAATGTTTTATGTTATTTTATTATCATTTGTTTTTTCATCCATTTTATTTTAAGATATTTTTTGTTAAATATTTGAATTTTAATTTAGTTTGCTTATTATAATTTTAATTAAAAAATAATAAATTATATTGTTTAACTTATTTTATTTGGATTTGTTTAAATTTGTTTATTTTAATGTAGTTTCGTTTTTTAATTTAATTTGTTACACTTTATTTAATTTAATTTTGTTAAATTTTGCCAATTTTATTTCAATTAAAATTGTTTTAATTTATTTAATAATGTTTATTTTATAATGTGTTTATTTTACTTAATTTGATTTAGTTTTTGTTGCTTTATTTCATTTGTTTTATATAAATAAAGCTTATTCCATTTTATTTTGTTTAATTTTATTTATATTTATTTTAATTTCCTTATTGGTTTTAAGTCATTTTATTTTATTTTATTATGTTCATATTGATATATATATTTTTTTTATTTAATTTTATTTCATTTTCATTTACTATTTATAGAATTTGTTTATTTTCTTTTATTCTAATTTGGTTTTATTTTAATTTGATTTATTTTTTATTATATTTTTTATTGTTATATTTATACAATATTATTATATTTCTGGTATTAAATTTTTTCACTTTGCTTTAGTTTAGTGTTTCGTTTAATTACATTGTAATTTATTTAATTTTTTTTTGTTTATTTTGCTTCATTTTATTTTACTTTATATAAATAAATCATTTTTAAGTGATTTTTTTTTGTTTACTTTAATAATAATTCACTTTATTTCGTTTTGTTTTCCTTATCTCTATTCCATTTCCTAATTTGTTTTAGGTCTTTTTATTTCATTGGTTTTAATATAATTTCTTTAATTATTATTCTATTAAAACTTTAAATAAACTTTTAAATTGTTATTTAATTTATTTAATTTTAATTTCTTTTTGTAATTTATTTTATTGGTTTTATGATGTTTTTATTATAATAAATAATCTAAATTATATATTGAGCTTAATTTAAATTTTTACATTTTCTTAAATTTTGTTTTAGTTTAGTTTTTAATTTAATTACATTTTTAAAATTAATTAATTTAATTCCTTTTTTATTTTATATAGTTTTATTTTAATTAAATTTATTTTATGCAAATTTTTCATTTTTTTTTTTATTTGTTTTATCTAATTTATTCTATTTTATTTTGGCTTGTTTTGTTTAATTTAAATACATTAATTTTTCTTTGGTTTGTTTTACTCGTATATTTTAATTTTTAGCTTAATTTGATTAAGTTAATTTGTTTTATTTTTATTTCGCTCTGTTTGACTTTATCTAAATAAGTTAGTTTTAGTTTGATAAATATAATTTTATTTGTTTTTTTTTTTTAAATTTAGTTGATTTAATTTTTTGTTCATATATAGGTATGTATATAAAGCTTTAATTTTCTTTTAACTTTACTTTAATGAATTTTTGATTTCTTTGTTTCATTTTATTTTACAGCATTTTTTTTTAATTTATTTCGTTTATCTTTTATTGTAAGTTATTTTATTTTAGGTTAATTAGTTATTATTATTATTAGGTTTAATATCTTTTTAATTTAAGCTTAATTAAATTTTCATTCATTTTCTTTATTTTGTTTTGGTTTGTTTTAGTTTATTTCATTTCATTGTAGTGAATTAATTAGCCAATTTATTATAATATTATTTAAATACAATTAAATTTGGCAAATTTGATTTAAATTTTTATTTTCTTTGAAGAAGTATAACTAGTTAATTTTTCATTTAAATTCTTTGCTTAATATTTTGTATTTTTTATTTTATTATTTTTTTTAACTTTTTAAATTAATATTTACAAGATATTTCTTTTTAATATATAAGATATTTCCAATGTTTCTTTTAGTATTGCATATAATATTTTATCTCTTTAAACAGTAGCTAAGTTACTCACCTGGTCTTGTTATCCGTCCCACATTGAAACGATGTGTGTAATTGACTTTGAAAAATTTCTCAACAACAGCACGCTCAGCCTTACCCTCTCCATTAATAGGAGAAAATAAATATTCGGGATCGATTTGATATTTTAACTGCTGGTAACTGAAAGCAAACGGAAGCAGGTTGGTAGAAAATATTAATATTAATAGTAATAACTTAACGCAACAATAACAATTTTTTTTGTATTAAATTTAATTTCATTAAAAATTTTAATTAAATATGAAACATATTTTTTAATATGAAAACTTACCCCGTCATGCATAGCATGGTCAGCAGCACAGGTATTATAATAAAATAGCCAGGATGTTTTGCTATTAAAACGCCCAAATGATAGAAGGATTTATTTAACATCTTATCCACCCAATATATGCAGCCACACCTCATCTGTGAAAAGAGAGAAAAATAATAACAATTTCTGTTCAAATATTTATTTTTTTGTGTATAAATATATTTAAATACTTAATTATATTAATTATTCATATGCTGAAAATACAATAAAAGACTGTTAACTTTCAACGATTGAAAAATATGTTATAACTCGCTTAAGCTTTGAGATACAATAGTTTTATTGTTATTATTAACTTCAAAATTTTTAATTTTCTCATTTGATATTATTTGTTTTAATATTTTAACAATTTTGTAGACTTTGATTTTTTTTTTAATTTTTTTTTTTGTTTATTATATGTAAGATACTATTCAATATATATACATCGTGTATTTTTCAAAATCTCCATAAGCTTGATAATTTAGTTTTATACTTTTCACTCGTGCAACACGTTTGCACGCATTTAAATAATTTTTAAAGTGAAAAATTCCGCATTGAAGTAAGTTGGCTAACCGCATTGCGTGCTTGAAAAGGCCTTTATACTTATGAAAAGGTCACCAGCCATTAGCACTGTTAAGTGTGTACAAGTTACGCTCTTCGATGAATATGTGCGCCCTTTTGAGAGTCGTGAGCTCGAGTACTGCTCGAAAGCATTAGATGCTGCCTTGTGAAATGAGTGGCACCTTCAAATGTCTCAAATGTGTTGACAAGTCTTTTTTCTTATTTTCTTTTTATTAACTGAATGATATTTTTTTTTATTAATTTTTATATAAAAGGGAAACTTATTGAGAGTAAAATTAGCTGTCATTTATGTATTCATAGAGTGAGAAAGGGAAAAAAACATTTCTGAAATACTTGGAACAATGTCGTCCAAAACTATTAGTTCGAAATAGCCAACTTCATACATCCCTGTAAGAAAAACTCGCGCTCAATTTTGTGAGTGATCAACTTGCACAAATCATTATTTTTTGGAGAAAATTATTTAATAGAATTTGAAGCATGAAAAATCATGTTTAATTTATTTGAAAATATTGTGTAAAATATTTATAAATTTGAAATAATAGAAAGATAATAAAAAATATAAATTAAAATATTCAAGCATTTCTTTCCATTCCATTTCCACTCAATTCCATTCACTTGTGGGCCAAGTGGCTCCTAACTGTTCGTCATTTACTTGACTTTGATTTATGTATGGTGTATTAAATAATATAAAAATTTTCCTATCGGGCAATTGTTTTGTGCAACGTTTTGTTTATATGCTTCGATTGTTGTCATAACTCTCATATGAGCACATGAATGCTTACGTACTTGAACACCCTTTTAAGTCATGAAGGCACTCATTTTATCAATCAGCCAAGCATGCAAAGTAATTTCATTTGGTTAGCATTTATCTTATAAACGGTAATGTGTTTTTGTAATACATATAAGATTTTGTATTATATTCGCACATACATATGCCACATGTGCATATGCCTATATATCTGCCTTTTAATATATTGCATATAGCATATACCAAAGTATTTTTCTATGTACTCATATACAAATTTAAGTTCATATGTCAGTGTTTTCAAAATGACATAATTATGTTTTCTATGTATGCACTCTAAATTATTTTTGGGTAGTGACCTTTTCAGAGTCACTTGATGTGAAATTGACTGATTTAAACATTTATTTATTTAGAAAAATAAAAAGAACATCCATATTTAAAAAGTCTTAATGATCATGAGAATATTTTTGTGGTGTTTATATTTTTATATTTATTTTATTTTATTTTTATTTTACTTTATTTTATTTTTATTTTATTTTACTTTTATTTTACTTTATTTTATTTTTATTTTATTTTTATTTTATTTTACTTTTATTTTACTTTGTTTTATTTTTATTTTATTTTATTTTATTTTGTTTTGTTTTATTTTATTTTATTTTATTTTATTTTATTTTATTTTATTTTATTTTATTTTATTTTATTTTATTTTATTTTATTTCATTACATTTTACATTCATTTATTTTATTTTGTTGTATTTTGATTCAATTTAAGTTTATTTAATTATATTATTATTTTATTATTTTATTTCATTTTTATATATTTTATTTTAATTTATTTTAGATTATTTAATTTTATTTTTTTATAATGTTTTCTTGTATTTTATATTTTTTTGCTTTCATTTATTTTATTTTGCAATATCTTGATTTAATTTAATTTTATTTCAGTTTATTAAGTTTCTTGTTTTAATTGTATATTTTTATTTTTTTTAATGAAACTTGTTTCATTTTTTTCAGCACATTTTATATTAATTTATTTTAATTTTGATACTTTTAATATATTTTATAATATTACTATTTTTTGTTTGAATTCATATTTTCTTGGTTTTTTAAATAATTTATTTTTTGTTAATTAATTTTGTAGTTATTATTTTAATTTGTTTTATTTCCTTTTAGATATTTTTACTTTTTTCTTTTTTTTCATTTTATTTCACATTTTTCAATCTTTTTATAATATTTTATTTGTTTTTTTATTTAGATTTTTAAATTTTTTCTTTTTGTTTGCTGTTACTTTGCTTTGTAGATCATTATGGTTTTTTATTTAGTTTTATTCGTTCTATTTCTCCCCTGCATTGTATTTTTTATTTAATTTAATTTTTGATTATATCATTATTTTTATATAAATTTATTTTATTTATTTTGCTTTCTATTTTTTATTTCACGTTATTTCCTTAGCTTAAAGTTATTATAGTTTAATTTAATTTATTCTATTATTTTGTTTTATGTCATATTTTTGTTATTTTAATTTTTGTTTATTTTTTTAAATTGTTAATTTTTTTATATTACTTTATTATGTTTAAGTGATTATTATTTTTATTATTTTGACTAATTTTATTTTTCATTTTATTACATGAATAATTTTTATTTGTTTTGTTTTAATTTAGTTAATTTAACTTATTTTATTTTAATTATTTTCCTATATTACATTATATTTTATTGCAACTAATTTTTTTATTAATTTTTTTTTTATTAATTTATTTTATTATTTTTTTTTTATTTCGTTGTACTTTTTAAAATTTTTCTTATATCTCTTATCTTTATGGTTTTGTTAATTTTTTTTGTAATGTGTTTTGTTTCATTTTTTCATTATATCTTTGTTTATTGTATTTAATTGCACTTTATTTGATTTATAAATTTTACTTGCAACTGTAAGCACTCCTATTTTTAAATAAATATGCTTAGAGCTATATTACGACTCAATAAATCTATAATTGCCATTAATAATGACTGTTAATTGAATATTTACACACAAAAAAAAAACATACAGATGTATGTAAACATTCCTTTTTATCGCTAAGTGCTTCCTAGCGAATCAAGCGGTCAAACATAAATAAAAAAAAATTATGTTAACTTTGAGTTGTCAATTTTAATGCTTCCATTTGAACATAATATATAAAAGACATTCAAAATATTTTATATTTCTACTCTAACTTTAACAAATATCGAAGTGTGAACATTGAACTGGAATGCTTGCGGTTGGAAACTTTTTTTTGAAGTCAATATTTAAGTTCAAGATTATGCCGCTAATAAAAAACCAATTTTCCTAGTATTTAGGGTTTGGTATATATTTTCGTAATTAATAAATTGTTAATGCTTGCTTGTAGTTAAATGACCTTGAAATGTCCGATTAATTCCTTCATTTTACAAAAAAAGTGAAAAATGAATTTAATAACAGTTACAGCAATTGAAATTAAAATGTTTGAAGGTTTTTCTTTTTGTACAAAACGCCTTTCCGTTTTGGGAAAACTTATTGTAATACCTTTTATATTTTTAATACTTTTAAATATTATTAATTACTACATATTTGTGTAAAGAAGTTTCACAAAAAAGATTTTGCGGCTATTTTAGAGGTTTTTGTGATTTCGTGAAAGCATTTTTATCTTCAATTCTCCATCTATAATTTCATACGGAACGTAAATATATAGAGTTGTTTATAATTTAAACAACCCAATTGTTGCCTACAATTAGAAGCAGTAATAAATATTTTAGCGAAGCCACCTACCACAATGATGATAAAACATACGAGTGTTGTAAACCGTAAAATCCATACGAGTTCAATATTTTTCAAGTCGATTAATCGTTTATTACACGTAATTTTTATGACACCAATTCAGAAATTATATAGTAAGAATTTATTAGCATCAATAAAATTTATTTATTACATTTGAATTACTCACACATTTATGCAGAATTATGAAAACACTAAAAGAAGCCAACAAAAATAACAAAAGATATATATATATATGTCTATATAACGTGCATTTTTAGCTTTATTTAAGTAAATTAAGTAGTTGAAAATTGCATAAAGCGAAGATAAGTAACTCAATGCATTAATTAAGCGATAATTTAACGAACAGCGAATGAGACCAGAAGTGCACACTAACTTTAAATGCATTATTAAATCATACAGTGTGCACTAAATGTTTTATGACAATTACATTTTTTTCTTTTTTGCTTCCATGGCAAAAAATCAACTCATTTCAAGGTTTGCATTTATATAATTCCCACTAAAAATCTAATGAAAAGCGGAAATGAGCGTCTGAAAGTTATGAAACAATATTTAAGTTTACATATTTAAAGAAACACAACCTAATTTAGTTTAAATAGTATTTTTAATCGCACTAATAAATAAACAATGTCAGTCATATCTGTAATTTCATTTTGTTTGGTTAGGTTTTTTTTTTGTTTTCATTTTTTTTTGGCGGCCAAGCAAATTAGCGCAAATGTTTGTATATTTAATGCGATTTTTATTTCCCCCAATGTGTCGCTTAATCTTCAAAGAAAAAAAATTTGCTAGAAATAAATGTCAGCTAAATTAAAATAAAATATGTTTATAAGTTTGTATGTATGTACATGCTCTTGAAAAATTGCCACACTTTTAATTTGCTCAATTCTTCGTTTTCATTTCATTAACTGATTAAAGTGGCGTAGAATTTTTAATAGCATCTCTCATAGCCTACGCCATGTAGAGTGTAGTGATTCCTCGTAAGCCTTATTGGCACTTATTAATTTAAC